TTAAGGAATACTTAAAATTGGGTCCTCTGGTATCAAAACCAATCTGTGTGGTTGGAAGAGCCATGCCTATTCATAAAGAGCCAGAAGAAACACCAAGCAAGAGCCCCCCAGAAGGTGACTACATTGGTGGATCTGACAGGCACATCACACCTCAGATGATCAAGGCCTTATCTGAAGAAAAGCTTGGTTAAAAAAAAACAGGCTGGGTTGTTAACACAGAAATGTAACATTCTTGGTTCATTAAAGATTTGCTCTGTCCTTCAAGGAATGAATGCACTTTGTGGAACTATTTTTGAAAGCCTGAATCATCTACATATTGAAGTTTAATTCGAGGCATGTGGAGAGCTGCTTTCCTTAGATACAGAGGAGAGTCTTGTGCATGCCCTGGGCTTCTCAATCCAAGCAGCTGCAGGCATAGCTAAGAAATGATCTGAGTTACTACTCAGCTTTCGTGGCCCCTGCTTGCAGCCTGTCAAATGTGGGATGCACCCTGAGCAGACACTGAATGCAGATTGCCATCAAGTATAGGACATATAATACTTGCTAAATGAGAATCCAGGTTAGCCAAGCACAATTCAAATATTGTTAGAAATGGAATGTCTGAATCATTTTATCTGTCTGCATCAAAAATTCTACTTAACCATCTTATAATTATTGACAATTAATTAAAAAATTTTGAAAAACAGCATAAAATCATTTTCTTTAAATTAGCCAAGTTCATTGTGCAAGCCTTCATCTTTGTTGTGTGCCTGGTGTTTGTTAAATGTATCTTGGCACACTGATTCACTGAATTTTTCCCTGTTCTGTGTGTCCTGGACACGATGCACTGACTTCCCCACATGGCAAACAGCATTGCAGTGTCTCACTTTAATCCCGTGCTTCAGTGCAACCATTTTTCATCCTTTCCTTTACACCCAGCAGGCGTCTCCTTGAGCCGAAGGTGCTTGGAACTGACTGCCAGCTCCTCAGAAACCTGGCTCTCAAAGAAGCACAGAAACACAGGAGCCTTCATTCATCTCAGGCTGAATCTCCCTCGGGTTGCAGAGTGAACAGTAGATGAGTTTGGACGCCTCTGCTGTAACCGAGTTACTGCAAAGACTGAGGTGACCCCTAATATTCATGTAGCCAGAGAACGTGGATCCATGCTTGCAAGGTGCTCATGTTTCCAGCCCAACAGAAGGCTCCCTTTGGCTGCAGAGGTTTTCTTTGATTGAAGTGCAAGCTGTAGGAGACAGCTTACTTGAAAGAGAGATTAGTTCTGCTCAGTGGTTAGTCTGGCTTTTCGTTCAGTCACGGAATTAGAATATGGCTTATGTTGAACAGCTCTGCTGTTAAAGAAAGGCCTTGCCTTCTTCCCACCGCTCCCCAGAGGGCATTTACATTAATGCAGGGCTCACCTCTGTGCTTCTGTCCATAATCCACTGCACTCTGCAAGACAACATCAAGTTGTACCTCAGAAAAAATAACTTTGCATCTTGAAATCATTGCTTAGGTTTTAACCATAAGTGCCTGTATGGGTGAGAGGGAGCTAAAAAGAAATCTGAAACATGTTAATTAGGGCATAAACCACAAGCAGCCTGCAAAGCCAGATGCAAGCATCTTCAGTGAAGTGTCTCACATTCCCTTGATTTCTATAGGCTTTGCATTTAAAGCCTGTGAGGCTTTTCCATAGGAAACAGCTAGGCTTTTAGCAAAAGAGCACTTACAGATCATCTTGAGTGAGATCATACAGCAGGTCAGGACAGCCAGGGGATGAGGCCCAGCCAGCATGGGTGTATGCAAGGCAGGTCCTGCCTGCCCACCCTGATCTCCTGGGATCAGGTGATTCAACTGGCGGATGAGGAAAAGGTGTCAACATTGTCTACCCAGACTTCAGCAAAGCCTTTGACTCTGTGTCACACAGTATTCTGCTGGAGAAGGTGGCAACCCCAGGGCTTGGGCTGCTGTGCTCTTTGCTGGGTAAAGAACTGCCTGAAGGGCTGGGCCCCAACGGTGAACAGAGTTACACCCAGCTGGGGAACCCCAGGTGTCAGTGCTGAGGCCTGTCCTCTTTTTATTGAGGACCTTGATGAGGGAATTGAGCGCATCCTGGATAGGTTTGCAGATGACGCCGAGCTGGGAAGAAATGTTGATCTGCCTGGGTATAAGAAGGGCCTACAGATGGACCTGGGCAGGCTGGATCACTGGGCTGAGGCCAACGGGATGAAGTTCAATAAGACCAAGTGCTACACTTTGACCACAGCAATCCCAGGCAATGCTACAGGCTTGGGGCAGAATGGCTGGAAAGCTGTGCTGAGAAATGGACCTGGGAGAGTTGATCAACACTTGGTGAACCATGAGCCAGCAGAGATCAATATCCTTTGGCAGTGTGATCACCTTTAAATTCCCATCATTCAGATAGTTTTTGTTTTACTGTGGTTCTGCTGCCCAAGACAAGCATTGGACACTCACTGGGCTACAAGATGCAGAAAAGCATCCACGTGCCCCACAATGGTAGCAAAAGCAAAGCCTCTGTTCAGCTGGACTTGTTTTTAGCTGGCACACAACTAAAAACACAGTGTAGTTTTAACAGGAAAAACCTTCCAAGTGTTCACTGGAAATTCAAAGTTAAGTCAAAGAAACACAGGCACAGCCCAAGCTGCACATGAGCACGTGGTAAATGAGCTGGAGTTAAATCTACTACCTGCCTGAAAAAGCAAAACACAGTGGTGTATACTGCTTACCAGTGTTCATGCTGGGTTGAACCCTCTCTGAGCAACTTCCCTACAGAGGAAAGCAACTGGATTACACAGCTCTGTAGCCTGGCTGTGTAAGCAAGAGCTCTCCCCTGGTTTGTTGGGAGGCTTGCAGCCTTTGATGCAGTGAGGTTATGTAACAGTGATCTCTCTGCAGGTGCAGACCTGCACATATTAAGAAAAGAGGGCAGAGAACTTGCTCTGCAGCACTCTTCTCATTTGTTTGCTTTCTGGGAGAAAGGGCTTTGCACACACCGCTTCTGTGGGCTAGAAGGAGCTTGCCAGAAGAAGGTCAAGGCAGAAGCTAATGGACTGAAAAGTTACACTACAGTGACAGGCAAGAGCAACTAATGGCATTAGCATCATAAGCCTCTGATGGTTCAGTGCTGAGTGGTCCTTTGAAAAAGACTTTCCTTTGGGTTTTGAATCCACTGTGTGAGTACAGATGTTTCTTTGTAACTCTGTGTTCCAGAGCTGGTGCTCTGCAGTGTATGTCAGGCACTGCGTTCTGGGACAGCACATGCTGCAGGAGACCAGTAAGTGTTCCTACAGCTGACCCACAGAGCAGCTCCCCTGAGCCCTGGGAAGCTGGGATTCAGCAGGGTGCTCACCTTTTCTTCACTTCTAATGACTGCAGGGCAGCCAGCAGCTGCAATTGTATCCAATCATGCTTTTTGGCAAAAATACTGGAGCAATTGCTGTAGCTGGCATGGGGAAGTTCAGCAGACACACTGTGAATGAAGCAGAGATCTACACCGTAAAGATAAAACCTCTGTTCTCATACACTGCAACCACAGAACTACAAATATATGCTTGCATTCAACACATTTTCATTGGCATTATCAGCTTCCACAACTTCTAAGGAAGTTGTCTGGCTGTTCCAAGGCTTCCCAATCTTAGCTTCAGGAAATTTCGTCAACAGAGAAGAAAAACAAGAAATGTGTTATCTAAGTCATAGCCTGATTTGTTACCTTGAGTAAGTCACCTCCCCCAGGTGAAATGAATGGAGCATTTTCTCAGGCAGGGAGGGTTGGCAGTACAGTACAGCTTCAGAACAGCTGTATGGGGCTCTCCCCTCACTCCTGCCCAAGCCAGGACATCACACATTCCCTTCTAACTCAGTTTTTACACAAGACAACATCAGATGTTTCATCAGGAATTCACAGCATTTCCTTGCTTGGCAAGTTCAGTGGAAGATGTCAGGGCTGTTTCTGCTCTCCCCCCTGCAGCATGCAAAAGCTACAAAGGTCAAGTCAGAAGAGTGCCAGCAGACCAAGGAGAAAGCTCTTATTTACATATGATCTTATTAACATTGATTCTTCTGCAGTCAGCACATTTCCCCACTACCCATCACATTATCTTGTCAGCCTCCCGTCCCATCAGCATTTACCATCTCTCACAGTGCTTTTGCACCTCATTCTCATTTTTTCTGCCACAATCTTGATCTCAATCACGTCACGGCCTTCAAACCGCAATTCATTTACATCTCTCTAACATTTCGACCAGCTCTGAAGACATGTACTTCTCATTCAACAGGAGATGCAGGTTTTCACCAGCTGCTCCTTGCTGAGGTGCTGTTTGGCAGCTAGAAGCCCAACAGGCTGCTTTGGATAGAGCAGCCGATGTCACAGTCACGTACAAGTAGAAGTTTCCTGAGGTACTGCCAGCATCAATTTACTGCATGTGACCAAAAGGGGTGAGAGTGCCAAACCCTGCAGCAGGCTGTTCAGAGAGGTGGTGGATGCCCCGTGCCTCTCAGTGTTCAAGAGGCATCGGGACAAAGCCTGCAGTAACTCCAGCAATACTGAAAGCAAACATTCATCTCGGCCAAGTTAAATGGGAAAAACAATCAGATTTGTCACTCCAGTTTAGTTGTTCCTGAAGAGTGAACTGTAAGCAACGTTTAGTAGCAAAGCCTCCATCAGGAAGGTGCAACCTGGACAGCATCTGTGCTCACTAACAGCCACTATGAGTCACCAGGAAAGGTTAGCAGGACATCATCCCCACAGCAGAGCAAAACCAGCATCATTTCCAACCGCAGGTCCACAGCCCCACACGGGATCTCCATAGGGATCAGAGACCCAAGAACTATGAAAGCAGATCTACCTCAGCCAACAGACCCAACAGAACAGATGAGAACCACTGTCATCCTCCTCCTGCAATACAGTATGCACATATCAAATACATTTGGTATTTTATTAAGTAAACAATGCAATTATCAGTGCACATTTTCAAGCAGCAAAAGAAAAGCACCTCAGACGTTCATACCGTAACAAAATTCTGTGGAAGCTGCATTTTATTTGAAAATCCACCCATTTTTGCTAACGTACATTTTAATATTTTAAACAAAAATAGAATCTGCAGAGACAATGCAGCAAGTATGCTTAACTCATGTACAGAATTGCTTTCATATCACTGACTATCCTTCTGAAGGCCCCTCTCTACCCAGAAGTTATGATGTATTTACACAAAGCACCGATCAACAGTGCTACTTAAATTCTTCATTAACTAAATTGTAACTCCATGTCTGTCAGGAGGCTGCTTCCCCTTTTTGCTGTGAAAAGGTGTGTGGCAGAAACATGGCACTCTCCAAACAAAAAGGCTTCCCCCCACCCCAACACGCGACACCTCAATTTTTACAGAGAAGGAAAGTCTTAAAGTGAAAGCAATTCCTCACATTCATTTTGGAAAGGCCTTATAATGTCAAATGTAAAAATAATGACATGCCAAGCACAAAGCAAGAAAGTTCCTTCCCAACGCACTAATGCTGAATTAAAAATGTAGTGCTTCTTCTAGTCAGTTAACTGTTCCCTTGCAAAATCCTAGGCACAGAATTGACTATAAGGATTAATGCATTTTACAGCTCCTCCCTAATTCCCATATATGCTGAGAACTCATTAGATTCAGACCTTTAAAATATTTAGTGCTCTGTATGTCAGCTGAAAAGCATTCTGAATCAGATTCATTCTTTGTGGATAAAAATCAGACATACTGTATACATCCATACTCATTTTCATAAGGAGTTTTTTGATACAATATTAATGTTAAATTGATAATCATAAATAAATACAAACAATAATACATAAGGAATGTCTACTGCAAACTGAATATATAATTTCTTAAAAAAGTTAATTTCCATTACTGCTGTGCCTACGTTTGTGAGGACTGAAGAAAAGGTAACTGCAGAATTAGAGTTAGGACTGGACCCTCCCTCCCCACAGAGTCTGGTTTCGCGTTACGGTAAAGGACTCGTCTCCGCCCCGCGCTGCACTTCCAAACACCAATTCAATTTCCAGAATACAGGCTTCTCTTTGTACGTTATGATTACAGGTATTATCAGAAGCTGCAAGGATCGACCTGTTGGTCACCAGGACAAAACCAGGATCTCAGCCTCGACTCATGGCAAGCCTCGGCTTTGCCTTGGATGCTGATGCTTTCCTATGGAGTTGTCCCAGGTTCCTTCATTGGTCTTCATTTCACTGCGTCGTTCAGTGGAAGAGGAGAGCTTGACAGACTGAAGTTGTTTGTTTTTCCTGGAAGTGGGGGCTTACTGGTGAGCACATCTATTTGGAAACGTTCTTTTTTCTTCCAGCTAAAAGTTACATAAACTGAATCTGGAAAGATTAAAAACCCTCATGTTAACATCCAGCACAACCAGAAGTAGGATTTCACTATAAATTGTGCTTTCTTCAAACATTTCCATTCTTCAAACGCCCAAGATCCCCACAGGTCTGAAGTTTTGAACAGAAATAAGAAGTTCACAAAACAAAACAAAAAAGCCATCAGGATGTTTTCTTTTTTTCCACCAACAGCAGCCCGTTAACATCTGCTTCCATTAAGCCATTTTGTCCAACCAAACAACTCCATGCAATACTGCCAGCAGCAGCACGGTGACACAGATCAGCGTGGCTGCATGGGGAGCCCAAGGCCACGTTCCAGCTGGATCCAGAGGAAGCACCCACAGAAAAGCAGAACACTGTACAACAAAGGCCTTCTCTTTGTGTCTTCTAGAATATCCACGTTCTCACTCACCGTTTTACTCCCACCCACCCCAATACAAATAGGAGCAGAAGAAAAATTCCATTGAGTAGCTACACCAGAATTGAAGCCCCGCACACACAAGCCAAGCACCTCGTTCTGCACTGCTGGGCACCTGGTGAAGTGCACGAGCAGGCTGCTGGGAGCAGGGGGTGTTTGCTGCTAGCAGTGAATAACAAACACGCTCCTGATGAAATGGAAAACACCAGGTGGAACCACTTCGTTCTCCCTAGCTGCAACACAAAGCCCTGGGCGCCCTGGCTCTTGCACTGCAGAGAGGAGCTAGCAAGCTATTTCCAAATTGAAGCAAAACACTGCTTGACTTGATCAGGTCTTTAAGCTGTCAAGTGCACCAAGTTCCCAAGTCACTTCCACAGTGCTTCCAATTCAACATGACTGGTTTTTATTAATATATCTCTAAGTGTTTTTAAGAAAATAAAACTGATTAGAACTTTCATCTTCGTTGTACATCACAAAACCAGCACCTCCCCAGAATAACGGACAATACCTAAGTTGTTCTACAAGAAATCCTGGAGAGAGAGCTCTGCAAAGGGGTCCTTTCCTGAGGCTCTGTGAGGACTCTGACTGGAAGGGCTGGATGCTGCAGACAGCTAGTAGGAAAGACGACAGAGACAGGGTAAGAAAAAGAAAAAAGGTCTCAATGACAGAATATGAAAGCTGAACGTGTAATGAAAGGACAAGGGGAGGTTGAGGCAAACTTGGCAGAAATCAACTATTAAAACAAGGAGTTTGGTCATATGGAAAACAGAAAGCCTCTTCTGTGGTTGGTGTAATGCAGGAAAAAGCTGGATGCACCCCTCCAGAAAGGGAACTTCAAGTGCCAGTTACCAAATAAGCCAACAGACTGGCACTTTCACAGCAGTTCTCTTCAAAAGACTCAAAACATTAAGCCTGACGCTGTGGGATACGTTAGCTCTCTCTGCTTTACTGGTAGAGCTGTGAACTGGCAGGCAGAGAAGGCTGAGGGCCTGGCCGGAGCACGGCAGCTCTCCAGGAGTCTTCCTGCAGGAGAAAGAGCTCTCAGCACCTCTCCCTTCAAAATGCAATGTTCCTAAGAAGGAGGACAGCAGCGAATGGATTGTTCTTAATACAAGGGCTGGAAGGAGAACAGAGGGTATGTTCTGGTGGCAGAGATAACAGTGAGAGTTTGTCAATTGCCATCCTTGATGTGAGAACTGGAACCTGAAACCACTACAAAATGAAGTCACAGAGCCATGTATTTAAAGCACCACCTCCAAATTCAGCCATGTAAGTACATAATTTACAAGCACAGGTATTGGCTTTTCAGCAGCTGCTGCTGGAAGAGGCTAATAACCCCCAACCTGTAAGAATATCTGCTGCTTTCTCATTACTTTAAGCCTTTTGTCCTTTTTGTTATGCTTTTCCAGTTATAAATTGTGCTTTAAGTTACGTTTGCCCTCCACCTGCAGAACTTGCATGTTTTTGCAGTTACAGAGAGTCAGCCTTCTCAACCTCTGACCCCACCATTTTAACAGCTGACTTGTAACTGAGCTGCAAACAACCTGTGTGTACCTGCACACGATACCCGCTGCAAAACCACCCCATGGAAGGCATATTTCCTTTGGAAATGAACATCTGCCCACCTACGTGTGACAGGGAACACACTTATGGAATGGATTGCACTTCTGCCCAGAGTGTAAATATTGCAAGTTGGTATTTTTCACAATGTCTTGGAAAGCATACAGGGTGGAGGAGTTCTTTCAGGATTAATGCTATTGGGATTGAAATCTTCATGTCCCTCCTGAAGCCCTGCTAAAAGTGAGGCATTCTGGTCCAGTCCCCATAAACACATTATGGAAGAGCCATGAGACAGAATGGAAGTGCTTGAGAAGCAGTTTCAGGATGTCAGCAGCTCTCCTCTCAAACCCAGTTCTTCCCCTTGGAAAGCTGTAGCTCACACCCCACCACTCTCCAGGATTTAAATCAGACTACTAAGCCAAACAGAGCCATAACTTGAAGGCCTGCCCACTGCAACTTGACTTCGTGACACATTTGTCATGTTATTTGACCATGAAGAGGACATCATGTATTAAAAAATCCTGTTGAATTGGTACTAATTGGAGATCTTCCAATTCAAGTCCAACGTAACATCCCAGTTTGAAAGCAGTGTGGAAGATTGGTAGATTTGATGCTCTGCCATTAGCAACATCAGCAAGTAACCAGAAAGAGAGACAGAATTTCAGGAAGCCTGTTCACACTAAATACTAGGGGAAAAAAGCTCAACCGTGGTACTCCCTGGATGCCCCAGCCAACTTCAAATACTTGTAACGAGACTCCTCTAAGTATGAAAATGGAAACCCAAAAGCAGTGTAATGCATACAAACCCACGTCTAACTACATTGCATCCATCTCTACTGCTTATAAATATGCTGGAAAACCAGGACATGCCACGGCAGATTTTAAGGAGAAGAGTTCAATGCTAACAGCACAGGTCACCCATTTTTTTCTAGCGCCAACAGGTCTAGAACTGAACGCAGCCATCTTTCCCACTTAGAGTTTGTGGCACTTGAAGCACAACACACACTGCTGGATCAGGCCCCAAGTCTCACCTCCAGCAGCCATCAACTCTTACTGCTTCCACCAAAGGTAAAGAGTTTCACGCCTGAAGCTGCATTCAACGCCTGCAAATCTCAGGGAAAATCCTTCCTAAGCACACAGTAAGTGCTGATTCAAAGGGCACGTTTCCAGTCAAATTAATCCTTGCAGGAACCAAGTGTTCTCAGACTACAGCACAATAAATACAGCTCTACACACCTCACTTGTGATTAATTTCTCTTCTTCCTGTCATGACAGCCAGCTGAGATTCAACCTAGACCAACCCTGCAATGTCAAACGAAGCAGGAAGGCTCAACATAGCAATTCACATCTACTTGTTTATAACTAAATTAAGCAGGCACATTTTTTTAAAGGAGTATTTCCTCATTGATGCTTTCAGAATTGAGGAAGATTATCTGTATTTATTTGACTTGCTCTCTATCAAGTGCCAAGCTCATCCCTTCCACACGACAGTATGACACCCCATGTAAGAGTTACCTACGTTCACTTGCCTGAAATACAGGGAAGGTGCAAATAAACAATGTCTCTTTCAGATAAAACTTTTGAAACGTATATCTACCTATGTATATCCACAAAGACCTAAAATGAGCATGGAACTCCTGTTAAGGATCAGACAACAGCTGAAAAAATAACCGGAAGAAGGCTGGAGGCTCTTTTCCAACCTACTGCTGAATTCTTTTTCCTCCACACTCGACAGCCCCCAGAACACACACACACCTGTACACTTACACTGATACACAAGTACATCCACTGCACCTAAAGTAAGGAAGTAATAAATACATGCTTTCAAAGAGCCACCTACAAGGAGAGCTCTTCATAGTCAGATCAAAATACTGTCACATCACTGCTTTTTTTTTTTTTAAATAGCATCACGAAGGACAGCATGAACTTTGAGAAACGTTTGACTGGCAAGAACGAACGTGCAGCATTAATGCTGGAGTCCCAATCTGCCAGCTAAACTTGGATGCACCTTTAGCTACACTATAACTACCTCACATTCCCAATGATATCAACTATTTTCTGAAAAGAGCATGGAAGTGTTCAAAGTTTGTTTTCCTCACCATTTTTTGTACATCTACTGGATATCCTGACAACGCTGTAAATGAAGGAAATCCCCAGTCACACCCCCAGGGGAACAACAGTTTCAGACATTATCTATGGTTCTGCTATTCCACCTTTGCTTTTGTATAACAAACTTTATGCCATCAACCTGGATTTCAGAAGCCAGGAAGCAATCCTTACATGAACCAGCGTGCTTGTGCAATGCATTTCCCAATACAAGGAGTTACTGAAACACCTTCAGAGCAACGGATCCAGCTGTAGTTTTCTCCCCAGTAACAATTTTTGAGCATACACACCTGTGCTCCCGGTACAGGGCCAAAAGGATTTGGTGGTCTCATAACAGGCTGGCTGTATATTAACGTTGGCTGTGTCATTACTGGTATACCTCCCATCTGTGATGGCTAGAAAACAATCCACACAACATTAAATCACATCTAGCATTAAAACATATCAAGTTCTTAAGGACAGAAAGGAAAACAGCGACGCATGAAAGGCCTTGGCCCTATTTGATACATGCAGTCAAAACATTTCTATGGTGTTCTGCAAGTAGAGCTTACTAGAAAGGAACATCAGTGCACGCTTAAGGAACAGTCACAGTAAGAACTGAGCTCATTCCATCCCTTGTAGCAAAAATGAAAAACACTGGAACACTCATTTAAAAACAAGCTTTAGTGCTGGTCATCTTGCCACTAACACTGAGGTCTGACAACAGAGCTTGTCTGTGCCTCCAGAAGTACCAAGAACCTCTTCTGAGCTTCCACTGCTGAACTGGTGGAGTTTAAGAAAAAAAACCCTGAAAACTACACATAAAATTAATGTTAATCCAAGCCTGAAGTGTTCTACAGTGCTGGCTGAGCTCAATTAACAATTTAACATACATCAATGGTCTTAAAGTCAAGTTTTATTTTGCTTGGACTCTTATCTCCACTGCTGTTGCTTCTGGCATTCCTCTCAGCTTTGCATGAATAGCCAGTACTGGTGCTATTGAACTCATCCCATCCAAGCCACTTTTCCTTGACAAATATTAGTACTCCACCCATCACTCTAACTAGGAAGGCATCCACAGGGCAAACCCGTTCAGGAAAAACTGACCCTTTGAAAAATACCCTAACAAAGATTCAGAATAATTGCTGGTGCAATGAAGACACAGGAAAAAAGTAGCCAGGGAATGCTGAGGTCAGCAGCTGTACCAACAAAACTGCCAGTCCAGGATCCCCTCACTGACAGAAAAGGGCTCCTAGATCTCTGCTTAGAAATGGCCACATTAAGAGCTACACTTTTAAGAAAAACTAAAAAGCAGGTTGTAAAACAGGTCAACACTTACTGCTAGGGATCCTAGGAAAGTATGAAAGAGACAGGATGTTATAAAGCCAGGACTTCCAGGATGTTATAAAGCCAAGCATCGCCCTGATGACCCACCTCATCCATCTGCTCATGCTGCACGTCCAACAAGTAACAGCAACCCATAGCAACAGAACCACAGCTACTATTAATTCTAGTTTACATTTCCTATCAGCCTTTCAACACCACAATCAATGCTGCTTTACACAAGATTGCTTTCTGAAGATGCTACCTTCCCTAAGTGCTGAATCAAAGTCACCAGGAAGCCGCTGCCAGTATCACAGTGCTCAGTTACATCGATCAGATTCCAATCAGCACCCAGGTACTTTAAGCACAAATGAGTGTGCACAGAACAAGACGTGCCATTTTTGTTGCTCGTTTATTAAATACAAGTTATGAACCTAATTTGATTATACCATTAAACCAATTTGATACAGATCAAGGTGTTTCAGGAAAATTCCATTTCATTCACTCAAAGCTGTGCTATACAACTGTACTCATGAAGAACAGAGGCAGTTAAAACACATTTCAGAAATATTTTCAGGTTTGAGCCAAGAACAAAACTTCGAACCATTGTTCAGAGCAACAAGCACCAAGGCCAGCTCTGTACCAAAGAACTTCTGCAACTGGTGTGCCAGCAAGAGATGCAGTTCTCAAGCAACACCACTACACGTGACTGAAGGCCATTCCTTCCATCCTACCACTGCTACCGGGGAGCAGAGGCCAACCCCACCTCAACCCAGCCTCCTTTCAGGGAGCTGTACAGAGCAATAAGTCCTCCCGAGAGCTTCCTCTTCTCCAGAGGAACAGCCCCAGTTCCCCCAGCCATTCCCCCATAAGACTTGTGCTCCAGACCCCTCACAGCTCCATCGCCCTTCTCTGCACACCCTACAGGGCCTCAATGTCTTTCTTGCAGTGAGAGGCCCAGAACTGAACACAAGGTGTGGCTTCACCAGGAGGTAAAATTCAGTCTTTGGTGAAGCAGTTCAGAAAAAAGAAAATCACTATTACCCAGTGAGTGATCAAACCACACACAGCACCTGAATGTGGAGTTACAGAAGTGCTACTCACCATCCCATAGCCCATCATCCCTGTCGGCGTTGTGGCAGGATACGCCATCACAGGCGGTGCCTAGCGGGAAGAACAGAGGTGAGCTGAGAGCAGGGACTGGCTGCGTACAGGTAAAGCTGCAGCACTTTGCTTATTATGAAGATAGCAAAGGTGTGTGTGAACTTATTAGAAATTGCAGCCTTTGTGTTAAAATGGACCCAAATTGTTTGAGATGAAATACCTAGGCTTCTAAGCTTCTAGATCATCATGATGAATTTATAATCACGTATCTGGTTTTAACCTGTTTGAATACTGGCATCCTCTTGACTTTCTGGTTAAAGAACATTACATGATACAGAGAGATTGTAGAAGGAATATTCATTAAGCAGATTTATTAGAATTCCATTTAGCGTATTTCAAAATGAGAAGTTGTGGTACATGAGAGTCTTAAAAGAGAATTTTTGAAGACTGAAAGGCCAAATTACCATTGGTTTTGTAGACATTATAGGAATCCTCCTCTCGTTAGTCAGGATCTACATGCTATGGGGATCTCCCTACCATGCTTCAGTATAAGCACAACTCTAACATCTATTAATTGGAATAGAAACTCAACTTTTCTCTTCTCTTGTTCAGTCTCAAATTAAGCCCAGATAAGATGATAATTCTAAACTTACAGCAGGATCATTTACTAATGCAAAGGCAGACAGAGCCCTCAAAACAATTTACATCTACTTACAACACATGGACTGTAACTCACGCTGTCTCTCCCTCATCTGCTTAGTGCACTCAATTTGAATAGGTTAGGAATCCCCCTAGCACCTTACAGGCACATTTACACCCCAAAGTAACTTCCATGAAGTTAGAGGCAGAACGCTGTCAGAGGAAACCTAGGACTGAGCTGCATTTGTATAAACAGCCTGGCACCATATACATAAAAAAAACAGCTGATAACTCTTAGGCAGTCTAAAGTACAATGGAAGACACTTCTTCATTACAAAACCACTCTCTTTGTTTTACAGCTTCATCAGCCACTTTTGAAATGAGTATCAATTCTCATAAGGACAAAAACAGTTTTTTCCATGCTATAAATTGTGTTTATTAGCATTCAGCTAACTTGCTGCCTTATCCATACCATCTCCTTTTCTCTTAGGGAAAAGTCTGATTTTTCATTGCCATGGGGATTAGTACTCAGAACAAGGCAGACAATGTACACCTCACAGCATGCACAGGAGGTTATTAACACAGAAAAAAGGGAAGCGGTGACACGCTCACAATTAAGATAAATTAAATGAATTTAAACAGATGAATTGTAACGTGAAGCACAGGACATCAGCAGTGCTGATTCTGAGCTGAGTTCAAAGGTATCAGCTGCCTTTTTCATACATGGTAGCCAGTGCCATGGGCATTTCAATTGCCATCAGGACGCGTTTCCCTGTCAGGGATGTCTAGACTGCATATATCCACACGGCCAGAACGGCTGCTCTGAAGGGCATTCTTCTTTTCTCAGGGTACTTTGGTTGTTCTTTCAATGTTAAACATATTGGCTACATAGATTCTTTTTGACTGCTCCAGTAATGAACCTGACATCTGCAACGAAAACAGAACTCAGGGAAAGACCAATACCACTGCTTGCATCAACTCTTTGAAATGAAAGATTCTGCACTGCTCAGACAGCAAGCATTGCATACTGCTTGCCCATGAACCGTCAGCACGGCTCTTCCTTCTTAACGTGAGCATTAATTGCATATTGGTCTCTCCCCTCTGAAAAACACTCAAGATCTACCACAAATGTGGATAAAGTGCCAAGTGTAACAGAAGCCCGTGAGGTTTCATGCAGTTATTCAAACACAAACATCTTATCTTCATTCAAAATTCACCAAGTGCATTGAAGGCAGCACAGACACACACCCCAGCTCTCTGGCAGCAAATGGTACAGTTTAAAGCAAGGAAAAATAATCTTGGTATTTCCCATGCCATCATTCGAATCAAGAGCCTGCAGAACACCTATGAAGTTTGTGTATGCTAGGAAAAGCTCAATTTTTGGCACACCAAAGATTTTAAAATGAGAAATGTGTAAATAGCAAGAAGGTTATGAGATTCTGCAACAGCAGTGGTTAATATCAGCATGCCAGTTGATTGCAAAAAGGCTGTGGGTTGTTTCACTTACGTATTGTGGAAAATGCATGCCATTCTGTATTTCCCAGGGAGAACAATTACATAATGCAATAACACTGGATTAGAAGCAAATACTTACACAATGGAATATACACAGATAGCATTTTAGTTCACAGATACATTACATGTCCACCCCAACGCATTCTTGTAATTCAAGTCATTTACTGAGACAGCGTACATCCGTGAAACTGCCCTTAGCATGTTCTTAATTGATCTGCACAGTCCATTTATTTGGTATATGCCTTTTTCCAAAGACAAGGAAGTCTTCTTTTCAAAAGCATATTTATTTAGCAAGCAGCAGTAACTCCACAATAAATAGACCAGCACAGGAAGGCAAATTTTCTTCTAGATTATTTGTTTCTGGGTGTTTATGTTCACAGAACAGTTTCACAGGAAGAAAAGTGTCTCAGCAACTAAGAATAAAAGTTGTTAAATATAATGACTTATCACAAGAAGATGCATATACAAGACATGAGTTATTCAACAGATTAAAGCACACAGATAAACTCAAACCATCAATCACTAAAGGAAGTCAGAAATCACTTTCTTCAATACCTACACACCTTGCAGTAAGGCCCACAAGCATTTCTCTCTGTGACTGAGCTGGTAACACTGGTCACCACCGGGGTGAGGTGGTGGATCCAGAGACACTCTCTTTCCTAACCCATAATGTTTGGTTATCGCACTGTGGATTCAACCTCCCCCAGTTGGAATCAGATGCAATAAATCCTCCGGGACTTTTTGTTACCCGCTCTGGCAGTGTACAGTTCTCCAAGTCACTGGTGAAAGGGTGAGCAGGATCCACGTGCAAAAGTGGTCCATTACCACACGAGAATTACCCATATATATCTTCTATTATTTTGGACACGCTAGTCAAGAACCCTCACCTGACATGCTACCCAAAATTCTAGCCAATACTACATGTTACAGTGGGCACCACAAATGAGAAGTACCTGAAGATTAATCTCAGCCCATTCTCACCCCCAGAGCAGGCTAAGTGTTGTAATAGTAAACACACTTGGCATGTCAACACACCTGAAGAACACAGCTGTCAGACTTGTTCTTAACTAGACTACCAAGTATCCCCAACACATCAGTCCGTGGCTTCATGTTAATTCACTGAAACATGAAGCCAGCTATCCTGCCATGACACACTGCTCAAGGAACACCAAAGTTTAACATAAACTTGCATATCTCACAGCAAACTAATTTACTAGAACTGCACAGCTGAGAAAAACAAATCCAAGCAGCACACGCCTCAAACTGATCCCTATTCCAATTTTCTACTGCCTCTTTCCTGCAGCTGTCACTTCCAAATTTGTCAGTTTTCACTCACTATTTTAAAATGACTGTTTGCTTACCAGCGTTGGAGCATTCCATGCAGTTGTAGGTGCAATCTTGGGTTGCCAGTTGGAACCACCTGTTAGTTTCTTTTCACTTGGTTGAGTCCAATTTACATCACTTCAAATAAATTTGTAAAAGAATTGTTAGAAAAATAATCAGTTTGCTTTTACAAAATGTGAACAATGTTTCCTCTTTGAAACTTTCATTTAGCAACGCTCATTCAGCACGTGAGTTGAAGAAAGGTCTGAGGGTAAGGTAACACCTAGAGGGTGGTGACACACTGAAACAGGTTGCCCAAGGAGGCTGTGGATGCCCCATCCCTGGAGGCATTCAAGACCAGGCTGGATGTGGCTCTGGGCAGCCTGGTCTGCTGGTTGGTGACCCTGCACACAGCAGGGGGTTGGAACTGGATGAGCATTGTGGTCCTTTTCCACCCAGGCCATTCTATGATTCTATGTCCAGGGAAAGCCACCTTAGCTTGATTCAAGCTCAGATTCCCTGGTATGGCTTAGCCTAGCTTACTTTACTGAAGTCAAAATAGTTTAGTGATGAACAACTACACACTAGACTTCTGCTAGAGTGACTGCAGAGTTGGCAATAGGCCGCCCCAGTGCACATGAAATTTGCTGATCACATTCTCAACTTCACTGCTAGAACAGATGCTTTTCTAGAACAGGCCCTGATTCAAAATTCACTTCTCTAAAGGTCAAGCAGAAGCCTGAGGTTTGTGGTCTCACATACTGTAGTTCTGCATGCACTAGGATCACATGAAGATTTAGAATGCGTGATACGATCACTACAACCTAAAGAAATAATCTGAACTCATTTCCCAAAAATAGAGACAACCTGAAAGAACTCAGACAAAGGATGGCATCTTGCCACTGCTGTTACTCCTCAACCTATAGTCTTTCAAGCATCTCTTTATTTGTTACATCTCATGTGATGAGAATCAGAATCAAAGCACCACCCCAAACATGCTCTGAAGGGCAGATGACGCTCTGGGCAAGCTGGAACCTGTGCTTTCATAAGATTTTACTACCAAGAGGAAAAGCTCCACTTTTGATTAGGCATACTCACTTTTTAGTAGTTCCATTTCCAATGCCCAAATCTGTCACAAAGTAGAAAAAGACACTACTGAGATTTTATTCACTTAAGAATTAAATAAGTATTTACGTAAGTTGTTCAATACTTACTGCCTACGAGATTGGCTAAAGATGAATCCAGATCATCTGACACTAATTTGTTAGGTGGTACTTTGGCAACTGGAAGACTCTGGTTCTGGGAGGCCACTGTTGGTTTTAGTAGACCACCTAATTCATCAAAGCCTTGAAATGATAAACAAACTGATTTGAATCATAGGCTTCCCATGAACTTTGTGATATTCAGTTCAGCAGACAGCTAGCTCAACACAAAGGGTGAAACAGCTTAACCTAGTAGCAGCACTACAACGAACACAAGATAAAAGCACTATGCCTTTGGATAAAAGAGAGACTACAGAAAAAGGAGGCTTTGTTCTACTGATTTAACCCATGTGACATCTATTTTATATAAAACAGATTCACAACCACCACAAAACACGAAAAAACAAAATTAAGCATATCTAAATGATTTCAGTTGTATCAAAAAGTGTCTGCTTTTAGCACTTCACTGGTTTGGCCAAAGCAAATCCAATATCGGAAGAGTTAAATGTCAGAAGGCCGGAATATTTACTTCCCAAATTCTCAGAAGAATAGAAGGGTTCTCAGTCTGATTACAATCCAAATTAATACCGTATTTTTGATGGTTCACCCTTACATGATCATTTCCTGAAGTGAATCTCTGCATCAAAAAGCAATGCATAGGCAACTGAGTGTGTTGATAATGTTTTGCACTGCTGAATAAAATTAAGAAGCAACTTTAACTCCACTTATTGCTGCAGTACACAGTTGACAACACTTAAATAATGCTGTTCACAGTGTGAAGTTTCAATGCAGAAAAGATTTAAGGAATTAAATGTTTCTTCAGGATACATACAGAAATAATGAAGTAGCCTTTCCTTACACAGTAAGAAAAAGCTAGTTGAAGAATGCTGTTATTGATCCTTTAAAGCCTGCTTTCTTTTGTCAACTGGAACACTGTCATATGATTAAACACAGATTATGAGGACCTGTCACCTATTTTGGTAGATGTCTTACCACCAGAATCTAGGACAACATTAGATGATTTGTTTCCAAACACAGACTCAAAGTCAACATTAAGGCCAGCTGATGGTTGTGGTTGAGAAACAGGCGACGGAGTGAACCCTGCGTGGAAAAAAAATAAAGCAGTTGAATACTTGTGTGAAGTTTTCCTCGTTAATTTCCCTTCTTTATGGAAAAGACAACAAACACGTAGATTATTTCAGTGATAAAGAATGATTAGGAAGACCTCAAGTGATCACATTACACTCCAACATGGAGAATTTTCATAGGAAAAGAGCTGGAACTTGAACTCCTCCCAAGAAAAAAGCTTCTGTCTCAAAAGAATGCCAGCAGACTGTGGAAGATCTTCCCCAATGCTAAGTCTCTGGCACTATTCGTACCATCCCTGTCTTTAACTGCTTACAATTATTTAAGGAAAAATTATTGTGCTTTTGCAGGAAATGCAGCTGGTTAGATGCAGAATCTGTTTCAAAATTACTTTCCTCCACCTTTCCTCTACTGAGCTGCTCTCAGATACAACTAGAGCACGATCCACACTACCCCAACACACCTGACTATCATGCTTTCAATAACACATTCCTAATACTAAAATTTTAACAGTTATTTTTGAGCACAAATTATTTCACTTGTTTCCTGCTGTGTACCTATAAAGCAAATATGATCTTCGTTAAGTGTTCTCCAGATGCTTTTTTTCCTCTCCACACTGAGAACTTGCTCCACTGCAGAGCACAGTTTTAAGCAATACTAAATAAAGTTGGTGGCTCAGATACGAAAGCTCATGTCTTCTGGTGTTACATCCAGAGCACCACACACAAGTCTGAGCAGATGTATGCATCTACATCTCAAGTCATGCAATTATAGAAATTATTCCTATGTAAGAAAAAAAAAAAGAATGCTTGAAGTGTTGCAAATTAGCTTCTGGTTTTGAACAAATTCTAATGATATGTAAAAACAGAAGAAAGGGTTGCACACTTCAATAATAAAACCCCTCAGTGACCTGCCCAATAGTTAGATCACTTTCAGCATGCTGACACAGCTCATTTCAGTCTTCATGTTCTCCTAAAATAAGTGAGACTTCACCTAACACTTAATGATTAATGGTGCAATCCTTGTACTCAAACTTCACAGAGCTGATTTGGGTCACCTTTCCTATTGGTCTTAAAGGAAGACAAAACTTTCAAGTCAAAAGCATCCACCAAGAAAATACATTTTTTCCATTAAGCACAAATCAAATAAGAACTCGGAACAGCATACAAGGACATGAGGGAAGCAGTAATGTGGGAAAAGATAGGGAAGTGAATAAACAACAAAACAAAATGAGTATCTTTGTGACAAGTACAGCATCAGGTTGTAGCAGGCCATTTCAGAGACTCTGAACTGCGTATCAGAATTCCTTTGACAGGATGTCCTGCAAATCGTGCCCATACCAACAAGTCTGACAATGTAACTCATTGCTCTTTAAAACATGGGCTTCAGTGGTACAAGTAAGATAACGTTCCCACTCTCATATTCTCAGGTGTTTCGAGCAATAGGAAGTGAGACAAACCAGAAGACAAAACATTGCTTGGCACTTTGTGAGTTGGGCTTAGTGAACAGATCAAATCATTCTCCTGGTACGACTCCAGCTGGTTGTTTTTAGTGTTTTTAAACAAAACATCACTTCGTAGTGTTTAAGAATCAACTTTTCCACAAAACACAAATTGAAGCTATTGCTAAGCCTCGCATAGCAGCCTTAACAGCCCCTCCTCCTCCTGGTTTAGGCTGTTATCTGCCACAGCCAGCAGCCCACCCAACTGCTGGCAAGGCACCACAGAAACAGCAGCAATACAAGTTACTGTGCAGACATCACCTCTCTGCACAAGTTAGACACATGTAATGCAGAGGATACCATCTGTATGTTCTGTTGTGAACCTCTGTCCTCAGAACATCCCAACCCCTGTCTCACAAGCAGTGAAGGTGATTAATGCAGCAACACGTACAGAAGGAATCCTGAAATGGGGAGATACTCATTTCTCAGACTAAAGCCTTGTTTAAGCACAAACCAGAAAAAGATGAGCTACCTGTGACAGCACATCTAGCATAAGCACTGCTACAGAAATCAAAGTTGAGCCAATGTGGTAAGGCACTTCTGTAGCCAATAACAGACCTAATAATTCCAGGCACACGACACATTCAAACTTGAGTGTTTGAGGTGAGGCTCCATCCTGTTACCTACCTCCAAAGAGACCAGCTACAGAAGAAGGCTCACTGCGGAAATGAGAAGCACTAGGGAAAGCTTGAGGACCACAAAAAGAGTCTGATAAGGCATGTCACACAAAAGAGAGAAAGCCAGGAAAGGAGAAGAGGGAGAGTTACAGAAAGAGAACCAAGATACACTCTATTTGCTATTCAAATATTTAATTTCAGGTCAGTCTATAAATCCACATATACTCCAACAACATAGAAACAACAGAACAAAATTAATACAGGTAAGACATACAAGAAACGAGTTTGTATCATCTATAACTCTAAAGGGAAAAAAACACTTTCAACATTACAGCTACGTTAGGATAAACATTTTTTTTCTTTCTTTTTTTTTTTTCCCAGTAAATGCCATGTTTTACACCCTTTGGAAAAAAAAAAGTGTAAAAACTTCAAGGCATTTTTCTTATACCTGAAGAATAACGATACAGCCCAACAGTGGATTCATATTTGGTTGCCACAAAGGGGTTTAGTTCAGTGAATGGATTGTAATGATCTAAAGAACCAGAAAGAGTTATTTTAAATCCGTGTTCACATTATCATAGCACCTAGTTTGTGCTACTGCTAGAGCTGCATCTACTTTCATAGGTCAGTATGTCAGGAAGTCACACACTGCTTATAGACAGAACTTCGCAGAGTGAGATGCTGAAGGGGAAGGCAGTGTAACAACGCTGTCCGTCCTCAGCAGGTCAGGGCTGGGCTGTGAATGAAGAACGCCCCACAAACCCACCCAGCTGTGCACCACAGCCCTGCACTGCCACAGCTTTCTGTAGGGCTGCAGAACAAACCACAGCCAGGAAGCTGCTCTGACTGAATGCTAACTCCACTGCCAAGCTTCATTTCAAATGGTCACTCTGCATTTGCCTGCAGCCATACCAGTTTCTTAGAAGCAGGGGGAAAAGCAATTAGAAACAGACCAAGTCATTACACCACAGTTATAACTCTGAGTATTTGTAAACTACTGCCTCAACCAACTAAACATCAGTGGGAATTCCAGAGGTCTCACAACTGGAGTTCTGCCCTGGAGACTCTTGCTTCTCCTCTCCCCACTAAGACGAGACAAGCTTGGAAACTCGTCAGAATACTGGTGGCATCTCCAAAGAGATCCTTGGTCTTCTCCTTGTTAAGAAACAGAGCTATCAAATATCTTTCTTATAAGAAAGTTTGGATTCTTCTGAGATCAGTCCTAGTGAGGTTCAACCTGAGAAAGAAAGCCTTGTTGGTGCACTGAGACTGTCTTCAAACCAAGCAGTCTAAGAACAGAACTGACACATCATTAACTGATTTTTTTTTTATTCCCAGAAAGCTAAAATACTGACAAGCAATCCAATTCCGAGGGACTTGCACCAACAGACACATGACAGGGATTTCTGGTATGACAGCACATTGAATCACCTCCAAACTAAGTTTTAATGTTTTTTTTTTAAGTGGTGAGTTCTTAGTTAATTGCCTGAGATGAACAGAAGACACATCAAAGCACCTGTGGCTTTATCAGTTTTGCATGTTAGCAAAATTGCAGAAAACAAATCCCCTGCATAGAAAATCACAGTGAGCTCCAACGTTCAAAAAGAACGCTTCAATCTGAGGAACAGAAAATTAATTCTCAGGCACATACAGTATTTTACCTTAAAACTCCCAAGCATAAGAGCCTGTATTGAAACGAACTCAAACAACTGCTTTAACTGTAACTGAGTTCCATCATCAGCAAGAATACCACCACAGTTAACATCAAGGAAGGATAGTAACACTATTTTTAAGACACAACTACTAAATCAAGTTCTAATGTACCACAAAAACATCTGTTACTCTTTTTGGTTTCTCAGAAGCCCCCAAATATGTTTTAGAAACCAAAATAATAAAATGTTCGGAAATAGGTAATTAATTTAAAACGGTACTTTACCAACAAACATTTCATGTGTGGGTGTCCTACTGGTGAAAGTAGAAACATCAGAAGACACAGACAGATGAGCAGCATCGTTAGTTTTTGTAAGGAAAGGATTTAGGTTTGGAATGGCATCATCAACATTATCAACAGTAGCAGAAAAAGGATCTGTCCAATTCCAGAAAGCAAGAGAAAGAAAAGGGAGATGGGTTTAGTTGTATGTTACTTCCTAGGTATAGAAGAGTAAGAAGAGTTAGAAGAGTCCAAGCAGTATTGTTTTATCCCAAAACCTCTAAATTTGGGACGACCTGGCTATTTAATTTTTAAGTTGACCAGAACTATCCATACATTCTCTGCCCATGGAAAAGTGTATTAGCTACCCTTCTGTTCTCAAAAAGAATTATTACTACCTCGGTTTTACACAACATGCTTCCTCTATATTAAGTCTAATACAGAAAATTAGTATGCTACTTATCTTTAAATACAAGCAGTTTTTGCTCTACTCAGTCATATCCCCCAATACTTGCAACAAGTTTACAGAAGCAGTGACTGCCTCCTACCACAGCACACCAGACTCTCAATGCAAGTCTACAAATGGCTTTAAAAAAGTATGCAAAGAAAACCACCAGCTGCAATCCCAAAACAGAGTGCTAACTTTCTTTTCCATCTACTGATCTTGGAACTTGACGCTTTTTGTGTTTCTCAGCATCATGAAATTCTCAAGAGCTGGAAATATATCGAGCCACAGAAGCAAAGTCCTTATTATGAAACTTGTGGACATGTCGCTGGCCATGAAGAAGAGAACTGCTCTGCTTCATAGAACCATTAATGTTGGAACAGAGCACTGAGATCACCCAGTCCAACTGCGGAGCCATCAGCACCATGCCCACCGACCTGCGTCCCTCAGCGCCACACGCGCACGGCTCAACACCTGCAGTGAACCCATCACCTCCAGCAGCCAGTTCTGAGAATAAACCTTTCCTAATATCCAACCTGAGCCTTCCCCACACAACTCAAGGCAGCTACTTCTCACCCTACCATTAGATAGAGGCCAAGCCCACCTCCTTTCTGAGAGTTGTGGAGAGCGATGAGGTCTCCCCTATTCTCCAGCCCCATTTTATCACACTGCCTAGAACCACACTTACTGTTCTAGACAAAACCATATGCAGAAATGTCAGTAATGCTTGTAAGAGATCTGAGTGCCTCATGGTCTTGGCACTTAGCTTTTAAACCAGGTTGGTTTACTGATGATCCACAACTAGTAAATACTACTGAGACATAGACAGAAGTTTCAGACTGCCTCTGCCTGAATCTGATCTCCTGATTCTTAGCTATAAATCCTATACAGTTTGATAACATGCAGCTGCCAGTCATATGCAAATCCTAAAGAAAATGAAGTCTCAAAATCATAAATGCATTATACTTCACAGACTTAATGCATTTGCATTTTCATTTTCTGCAAGCCTGAAACCTTTTTCAGCAATGTTTGGTTTCTTCCACAGACTGCCTGGCTACATCACAAGTACTTTACCAGGCATTATTAATATTTTTTTAAATCATACAGTTACAAAAAACAGAGTAACCAACAGTGAGTAGAGAACAAGCACCCGAAATAATGAAATTTGTAATAAACAGCAGCAATACAAAAACCTACTAGCTTTTGTATGCCTTAGGCAATAACATTACCACCTAACATATTGTGGACATGTCAAACAGCCAGGCACCTGAAATGAGTCCCTGCTGTAGGTATGTATCCTCTGTCTACTATGAATGCCACTTCAGAACGCACAGAACAAACTGATCTGACAATAAAACACAGCACTATCCTTTAATCAACTCCTGCTTGCTTGCTGTTGCTGCTTCACATTCCTCTCATTCTATTGGTTCTTCTTACAATTGGAAAAAAAAACAATCAGGTAGGATAAACTGATTTTTTCCACACTGGTACATCTGCTCTGCTTCTCAAGTTCTGATCACTGGCAAACAGAAGATCAAACAGCTGGGATGGTCCTCAAACCATCTCAGTAACAGCTCTTACAAAGGCTTCTTTCATTCTTCTTAGCCTTTTTTTGTTTGTTTTCCACATTACTTTACTATTCTTGCATGAAACTACTGTCTACCGGAATTACTTAAACTTGTACAAAGCAGGGTAAGTATTAATTACCACCCTCTGTTCCCAAATGTCAACAGTTGCATGTTGCGTTGTGTTTTGACTAGTAAAGAAATTGAATAAAACTTGAGCAGAATTCTCTCAGAAATGTCATCTTCTCTCTAATTCTTTTTGCTGGTCTGTCTCACCCCAGTTCTAAACCAGCATGTTTACATCTGAAAATCTGCCAATGCCTGTGACAGAGATAACTGAGAATTAATTGGTTTGGATAATTCACATCATTAAAAAAAAAATTGAAAATTCAATTGCTGTCTCTCCTGACAGCAACACTGAACTGTTTCTAAAGCCCTGTTTCACCTCTGAATACACACTGTGTCTGCTTGTGTCAGTGGAATCACTGCACCTTCAGGTTATCTTCAAGCATTAGTAATTCAGGTGCATTCAAGAAAGTTACTGGAATTTTGCAGACTTCTACCTTCCACCCATCAGCCAGTAGCAACTTACCTAAGAGAGAGGAATGACTAACATTTTTCTGTGGCATCCCTTACAGTTTAGAGAAAAGAAACCAAAAACATGCAATAACAGAACCCACACTCTAGGAATTTCTAACCTCGTTAGGGTTTTTGCCAGACAGCAGTGAAAGGCAGCAACCCAAATAAAACGGGTTCATCACACAGTTTATCCTTTTATCACATACCTAAAGGATGCTGAGTAAATCTCATCAGCAGTCATTCTTGTTCACTGCAAGTCAATTTGTACCTGATTTGATACTCTTCTCAAAGTTACTGAATACACCAAATACAAACATCATCATCTCATAAAATTACCTAAGGGAGGGATGCTGTGCAGTGGTTAGAGCACAGGACTGGAAATAGCTCAGGTTCCATTCTTGGCTCTGCCACTGATTTGCCACATGACTTCATGCAAGTCAGTTAACTGCTCAGATTTCTTCATCTGTAAAATGTGGAAAGCACTTCCTATCTACCTCACTTACGTGAAGTGAGTGCTCGTGTCTGCAAAGCTCCACAGATTTGGGTTTTTTTAAATGAAAATTAATAAGGAAGTGGTGATCCCAGAATTTTAACTCACAGCTTCAGCAGACAGCCTGAAGTCTTCAGTTAAAGGAGTTAATCTTAGAAGTATTTAGAAACGTCATGAGGAAGCAGGTACACCAACGATTATTACAGAAGACTCTTACCAGAAATAACACAACACTGAACAAACAAGGACCTCCAGGCTCAATTTCAGGTTTTTAATACAAAAAAGTGGTAAAACTTAACACGTTGTGATATGACCGTCACGAGGACGACAACCTCCCCTTCCATCTCTCACCCATGAGATAATCAGATAAATAGAACAAGCTGAAGCAGAAGATATTCCCGAAAGCAAACAAGATGAGCCAAAACATTTTCACAGTGTCTGAACTCTAAGCCTAACAGGCATCAAAATCTGTATGCGTAACTTGATGTGCTCCCCATTGCACCTTTCTCCAAAGATGCTCTGCTCAGCAAAATGAAAGGACAAGTCAATTTTTTCTTTTTCCTGGAAGGTACTGCATACATTACTATCGTTTCCATCAACCAGAATTATTTCCCTACAAACCAGTAGGAGAAGATACACAGGACACCAAGTACACACCAGAAGTAAACAGGAAAGAAGAAAACATACACTGCATGTCACAAAGTTCACTTAGGTAACTGGAAAGACTTAAGAAAAGCTCATAAAGGAAAGTGAAACTGCAGAAGAGTATTATTCCAATGCTTATGAAGCTTTCTGAAGCAGCAACTCTTATTTTTCAGCAACATTAAGCAGTAGTTATGCAACTATTTCCAGATAAGACAATAAAATTTGACACTAAGCATCATTTATGAAGAAGAAAGCTTTATGCAAGGTTTTTAAACTTTCATTCAGTATAACCAACAGTGCAAGCAACCAGTACCTGTTACCTGTACCAAAAGTATGCTGGGACTCTGCAAAGCAGAAAAGAGATGAATGGCAAGTGCTCTAACTAATTTACAATAGCATTCATGACTTCTGAGACTCTTGCCTTGCCTTCTTGATTTAAGGGCGTGCTCGTATCAGTAAGACCATCTAACAGCTCATTCATCATATCTTTCTTTTTGTAGTTAAATACAAATTCCCTGCTGTATTTCAGAGGTGCTTGTTTTGGTTTTGAAACCTGGATCTGGACTGCCATGTTTTCCAAACACGTTTGTTTCAATTGCTTCTTTTCAAGTCTCATCCAAATTCTTACCTATTATAACTGGAAATTTTGCAAAATTGATTTAACTTCAGTCTACATGAAATAGTGACTTGAGAAATTCCACATTCAGCATTAGTATGCAGAGGAGTTCAGTATCTGACAGACATCTTCACACAAAAGGATTCTCACAGCTAATTTTCTGTAGCTTGCTACACAGTCCCTAAAGGCAGCAGTTATGAGGATGACTGCTGGTCAATGACTAAAGGCACATCTCAAATCAAGACTGTTTGTAATAACCACATGCTTCTATATCTTAATCTGTACTCAGATCTGACTTGTTCCCTATTCTTCTAACCCATTCTTAACTTGTCTCTGCAAATTCTGTTCACAAGTTTTTGTGGAACAAACAGCTCACTGTCTGGGCACACATTTCACAGCAATACAGGCACAGTAACTGAAAACTTTAAGTCAAAATTCTTACCTCCCCAGGTACTTCCTACTTGTGGAGCAGCAGATATAGGATGTACAGAAGGATGAAAAGTTGGCTGCAAATCAAGCAGATCATTTGGCAGCTTTGAAGTGCTACAAAGACAAATCAATACAAGCGTTTGAACTGCATCACGGTTCTCAAAGCAAGGCAAATGCTAGCAGCTGTCAACAATAAAGAAAGCTTTGTAACAAACTAGAAGTTATAAAAGTTGATGCAACTACACCAAAATAATGAAATTTGCTGAATTTCACATTATGTTTTACAAGAAAGGGTAAATACAGAAAGCTGTGTTATACCAAATGACTGATAAATCAAGTTGTCTAAATTATGACCAGCTTTCCCATCTTCCCCATAGTCTAACAGGGCTAAAACATCTCAAGATCAAACGATCTGCAGCTGCTTTTAGAGGAACCTCATGAAGCTCCATACACTGTGGAACTCACTTTAATGGGCTACAACATCAAAGTGTTACATCTAAACATAACAAGACCTGTCCACTATCAGAAACTAAAAACTGGCTTACACTTGTGAGCTATTAAAGACCTCTGGGGAAAACAAGACATTGCACACTTGAAACACTTGGCCAACTGCTGTAGCAACATCAGCCCTGCAAATTAAAGCTAGCTCACACGTACCTACTGGTCTACTCACAACTAAACTGAGATCCAAGAACATATGAAGATTAAGAGTGAAGTCTTAAATACAGCTGTTGCAATGACTTCAAGAGTAACAGGGATGATAAAACATCTAGCAAAGAGTCCTTTTCATACCCCAGATTTCTCTTGTTAAATAAATAAAACTGAAGCATTGGTGTTCTCCAAGAACTTCCCAGCACAGTGATAAATGAACCAGGACTGGCACATATGGGAATGGACAGATGCTGAAGCATCAGGGCATCCAAGGATTGTTTGAAAACAGACTGGAACAGAGATTAAAGACTAGAAGAGACACCCCAGATTTCTGCCTATCCTCTTGCTGACTCAACTGATTGTGTGATTCAGTTCATTATTTCATTCCAGTAGAGATCAAGAAATCATATTTTGCTACCACTGCCCCTATTAAGAAGCAGCTCTCCTCAGCACAGCTTTGTAATATGAAGAGTCAAAACAATTTTCAAGTAAAGATTGCTCAAGTTAACGATAAGGATTAATCAGAGGCATTCCATCCAGTAGCAAGCAACTGAACTTGCAATCCAACAAATCCACTTCGTGTACAGCTTCTGCTGTACAATCTGTTCTTTGCTCATTGCAGTAATACTGCCAGCAACTGAATTTAAACAAAGACAAACTAGCATTTGTTCTTCAAAAGAAAATGCTCTTGTCTTCAGCATGAAGCATTTCTAGCCATTTGAAGAAGCCTTAATCAGATGTTTTTGTTTCAGACCTTGTAAGAAGGAAGATCAGGCATTCCAAGTTCGTAGTTCAGTGCATACTCCTACTTCAAATATTTCAGTCTCTAAGCTATTTAAACAAATTTCAAAGCAGCTTTTCAATTATCAACACTGACAGATTCTCTAACTCCTTACACACGATTCAGCTATTTTCTTCATTAAAGATGCAAAGTAACTTCCTACAGTAGTTTTCTAGTGGGGAAAGATGGCTGTACAAGTACTGACTACTTTTAAACAACAGCAAGAAGTAAAAGGATTCTTGCATGATTCGAAAGGAAATAAGCAATCCCCCTTTAGGTTTACAATCCATGAATCAGCGGCGTGTGCTTGCAGTCCCAAAGGCCAACCTGCTGGGCTGCATCAAAAGAAGGGTGGCCAGAAGGATGAGGGAGGTGACTGGCCTCCCTGCTCCACTCTCATGAGGACCCATCTGGAGTACTGCATCCAGATCAAGGGCTGCCAGTGCAAGAAAGATGTGGAGCTGCTGGAGAAAGTCCAGAGGGCCACAAAAATACCAGAGGGCTGGAGCACCTCTCTCATAGAGAAAGGCTGAGGGACCTGGGTTTGTCCATGCTGGAGAAGAGAATGTTCCAGGAAAGCCTCCTTGTGGCCTTCCAGTACTTGAAGGGAGCTTAAGAACAAGAAGGAAACTGCCTATTTAAGCAGTCCCATAATGACAGGACAAGGGGAATGACTTCAAACAAAAATAGGGGAAACAGATTAGATTAGGAAAAAAAATTTCATAGAGAGGGTGGCGTGGCATTGGTACAAGTTGCCCAAAGAAGAAACTGGATATGCTGGAGGTGTTCAAGGCCAGGGGAGATGGGGTCCTGCTGGGTGGCAACCCTGCCCACAGCAGCATGGGATTGGAGCTGGAAGTCTTAAGACTCCCTTCAATCCAAGACATTTTGTGATTCTATGATCAAATCCAAAACAAGAGCCATTTCCTTCTCTTGAACTCATGGAAGCGCTGGCTCTCTGCTACCATCTCATTTGACAAGCATTTATAGAATGGAGCTCACACCTTTATGCATACTGCTAGTCAATAGTCAGGATCAGTGCGCAGTACGTACTCTTACACTGTCCCTGCAAGTTCCTGCAGACAAATGTTCCAGATACAACTCAATACTGCAGAACCTGCTTCTTTTCCTTCCAACCCTGTTTTCAGGCTCTCCTTCTACTGAAAGTCGACCAGAATATTTCTTACCACTCAACTTTTAAATACCTAGAAATGCAACACTGAGTTCTGCATTATTAAGACCTCCCCATACAGAATTTGACCTTTCATGAATTATTAAGACCTCCCTACTGAAAATTCAACTTCTCATGAATGAGCCTGTAAGGTTCTTCAGGGGCACAGCATGTGCATTTTTACAGTTCCAGCTGCCTGGCTAGCCTATCAACAGCTACAAGGCCCGTAAGCAGTTCATCAGAAACTATTCTGCAAATAGAAGATGAAGAAGACACACTACACTGCTTCCCCCCCTCCCCCCCCAACAGAACAGGGTATTTTCCTACCCACCTCACACAGATAATTTATTTTCACATTCCTAATGAACTCCACACCCAAACAACCTCCTCCAATGTACCCTCTGCAGAAATTGAGATGATACTCCTCTGCTTGCACCCCAACTCACAGTGAAGCAACAGTATTGAAACATACCTGTTTGAAGAGCTAGGAGTAGAAAAAATATCAATGGCTGGTGTAGTCATTATGCTTCCTGCTGCAGTTGACACAGGAGAAGCTGCGGTTGTTAAAGAGGTATGAGGTTTCTTTGCAAGTTCTTTTAGACGTTGCTCCTGTTGGAAAAGTGAGCTGGCATAAGAAATCCAGAAACAACATTTGTGTATATCAGTCTGGAAGCAAGTAAAACAAAAGTTAAATATTTATTTTTAATTATTTCCCACGGTAAAGTATGTTTGTTAAACAAGGTAATTACTGGAGACACTGCCACCACAAACCCTTCAGAAACATTACTTCACAAACCCTTCACAAGTTGCACGGCGTATGTATGTATGATTTTACCTCCAGCACTTTGACAATAGCACATACTCTGTATAACTCTGGCTTTTTGCTCTGCTCCTACAAGAGCCTTAATAAAACTATCAATAAGAGCACAGAAAAAGTGTTCTGAGTTAAAAATTTCTGATGCCTACCTTTAAAGCTTTCAAGCGAGCCTGTTCTTCCTCTAATGCAGCTTGTTTTTCCCTTTCATCAACTTTCGTGAGAGACAGGCCAGTGCTTGCAAGGGAAGAAACTGCATTGGAAAGGGTGGTAGCCCTAAAGTAATTGGATGAGAGTAAATCAGGCTGTTAATAGGTGACACGTGATAGCAACATGTGAAGAACACTTTGCCTGTATCCACCCTCCTGCTCAGTCTCCTTTTGAATTCTTTGAAGGACTGGTTATGTCACCACACAACACAAAGCAATGAGCTTTCCTCAGATGTGCTGCATGAAGTGCAGAACAAAAATACCACGAACAGATACCATTCACTCTTGTATGCTGAGCTTTGGGTTTCAATCTCTTAATTTTCCCCTTCGAACTCCATCACAGAAATTGATGCCTGAAGTTTTTATTTCAGGCTAACAGGAGAAGAGTAAACACGCCTTGTGCTGATTCACAAGGATTTCTGACAACACAGACCCAAATTCAAACTGTTGACCAACTTAATAGATTTAGTTAAAAGAACTGTCAGTGCAACCAATATATCACAGAGAAAGACATCTATCACCAAGCTCAAGAACGTGCAAAAAAGACTAATTCAAATACTTCACTTCTAAAATACAGTAACCTCACCAATGCCAGCAAACCAGTGCAAAAGAACATGTAAAATATGGCTCTGTTATTGTCTGGGCATGCAATAAAGAAATGCTATCTAATTTAGCATGACTTCCCCCTCCATCCCCCAGTACTAAGCTGCTTTTATTTGAACATAATGAAGTTATTTGCCTAGAGGATTTCTCTGGATTGTACTGGTGTTTTAGCAAGCATTTGCAAACCAGTGAATGCCTTAATCTCCAATTACTTTAAGCAACCATTTTTAATTTAAGGACTTCTGGAAACATTTTCTTGCTTCTGACAAAGGATTACAATTGAGATGGAAGAGTCTAAGGACACTGACAGATAAATGCTGCTTATCTTGCTGAAGTCTAATTATTAACAGAAAATGAAGATTTATGGGCAGTAAATTAAAAAAAAACTGCTTCTCTTCAGAAGTTCAAGATTTGATGTGAGAAGTTGAACTACTGGATGAGGGATTCTACAGCAAATCTTTGCAGCTCTTCAGATTCTATTTCTGTTGATCTGGAGGAAATTGTCTGAAGTACTCAGCAAGACATGCAACTCCCTCTTCTATTGTTACAAATGCAACCTTCACTTCAACAAAACCTACGCAAACTTTATTTTTATAATCTAATCTCAAAATAATGAATTTAACATTGGCTTCAATTTTTTTTTTTTTTAATTGTAAAGGATAAGAACATAAGCACCTGCTTGCAGCTGTAGAATCCTTGATTTTCTTTCCTTCTAGAGAAGCTAAGTGTTGCTCCAAAGCATCAAGAAGGCTACTTGGTGCCTATGAAAAGGGAAAAGACAGGAAAAAGAAACCTAAGGTAAAGCATGTCAGTAGTTAAGACTTCCAGAGAATACAGTTGTAAGGACTAGTACAACTCTAAATACTTATGTCACATCTTGGCATCCAATAGATACTTAATTACTTTAAATACAACCTGAGGTTGTCTCATCACTGCTTTGCTCTGTGTAAAATGACTCACAAATACTGAAATATGTCAAGAGATGTTAAAATTAACAGCTAGGAAACAGCAAATATCAGAAGTAGCCAGTATTTCTAGACACTAAGGAAATTGTACCTGAAGTCCTTCTCTTTGTGCACATTCTGCAAACCTTCAGAAATTATTTCTATAGGTTTGCAGCCAAAGGAAGCTTGGTAAAAACTGTACCTTTATGACATCATGTAAAAGCTTCATTACATGAACTTATAAAGACAAATTGTGTTTTCAAGCACGATGGAAATTACATTGTCACAAAACTCAATTAGAGTATGAAATAAGTGGCCCCTAACATTTTACAATAGCATCGTTGGAAATGAAAGCCAGGCTCTGACAGGGGTTGGATTTAATCAAACTCTGAAATAACTTGGTAACAACATACAGAGGAAAGTGTAAGTGAATGCTATACTGCCAAGTCTTTCTGATTATGCAATATCAAAACTGACATGTAATGACAATACATGATAGGTTTATCTACCTGGGAAAGATCTGGTATGTCTCCTCTGTCAATTCCAACTTGCTGTAATAAAACAAATAAGCTTTAGAACCTGTTTGCATTTAGTAAAGGCAGTGATGCTCAAAAAGCAAAGAACATTAAAATGCAGTCAAATAAAAAGCCTAACTCCATACACAGTTTAAATCTTGATAATCTGAATTCTGTAACTGTTGGTTGTAATTAGGATGGTCTTTTGTTTAATGTACACACATTCAAAGTAGGTGCGTTGGAGACTTTTTACACACAGCCTGGAAACAAAGCCGAATGAGAATCGAGTATTCCAGAATTGTAAGGCTGGAGACCTTGCCTGTCCCATGAATTACAGGGTAAGTTCTCAGATCTACTGATACAGAGATGTAATTGCTAAAATAGAGCACCTTCAAAGCTATTAGAAGAAGCTTTCCTTAAAAGCTATTGCTGTCCTTCTAAAGTGTACACCAAACAACGGTCTGCAGCAGGATGTACAAACTCTTACAGTAGCAGATTCATACTCTTACCAACTGAAAGGACAAATGTAAAGCTTTACAGCTTACCTCCTGAAAAATTAGGAACAGTAAAGAAAAGCAACAGCAGAAGTACGTCAGAAATGAGAGATTTCATAATTCAACAACACTTCAGATTGCATCAGATGACATAAAAAACATTTTACAAGGTAACTGATTTTTCTGTCTATGAGTTAAATAACTACAAGAGATAAATGAAACACACTTACTCATCACTGTTTATTTGTTAAACTTATTTCACTTAAAACTTAACAGAATCATGGATTGTAAACTAGAGTGCATAGAAAGTAGTAGATTAAAGACTACTACCAACATTAAGAAACGAAGGACATTTTAAAATCCTCTTTTATCTTTTACTTAAGAGGAATGTGCAAATCTACAAGTCCTTTGCAGTCAGGTTTTCCAACACAGTCCTCAAATGATCTAATCACAAGGACAAAGACAGATGACAGGAATGAAATTCAGCTGAAAGGAAGCAGTATTTGGTTTATGAAAAATTCAGCTCTGTCAAACAGAGGGTAGAGTTTGGCTGAACGTGGTTTACCTCTGCAACTTTGAGGAACTCTGAGATCCGTGTCATTCTAGTGAGGAACTTCTTGTATATATCAAGGCCTTCTTTGCACTGGTTCTTTTTCATATCAAAGTACTTTTCTAAAAGCAGGAAGAGCACGCACATTAAATAAGGAATCACACAGCCTGCAGCGTTCCTGTGCATATTTCAAAGTAGAAGCATACAAAATGAGGCAAACACAAAATGCCTGCAGATTTGTTTTGCCATGTTAACTGCACAAGTCGCTATGCCTAACTCATACCCAATGACAAAAGCTCCACTGAACATGAACTAATGATCATCTGCATGCAGTTCCACCTTACCTGGCAGGTACTAGATCTCCCACATTCATAAGTACCCTGAAGAGACAGTCAGGTCTAAGAATAGGTTCCCTTTCTTGTGGGAAAAAAGAGGCAATTTTGTGGTATGACAATCGCAAGTCTATACCAGCAGCCAGCTATCAGGCAAGATGTTGGTATTTTCTGTAAGACTGATGCCTTTTTTTTTTATAGCACTGTCTACAACAGTGGCATGCAACAGATTGCAAAATACGGGTGCTGGAAGTAGAGGGTTCCACCCCGCCTTCCTGAAATACTGCTTTCAGGCTTGTTTCTATATTGAGCTTCAGTCAAAACATGAATGAAAGCAACGGTATGCAAGTTCTTATTACTAAGAGAAAAGAACCAGCCTGTGACTCAAGACTGGAAGTTTGACTACCCTTCATTGGCTAATTCTGGGTTTTACTTCCCATTCTGCAAGCAATATGACAGCAATCGCATAGCTAGATTCAATCACGGAATTCAGCAACAAGCAAGAGAGCACACTATAGTGAACTTAATTATTCCTAGACAGGCTCCCTTGTATCTCCAGTGCATGCAACTGAAAGAATCTGAAGTGGGAAATCAATTCCCCCTAAATACCTGACGCTCTTCAGAAACATAAGCCAACAGATCATTACAAACAACCAATGCTAAAGCTTCAAAAGCCAAGCAATCAGTAATACTGTGACTGCAAGTCTGTAACTGATGATAACCTACTGCATTTAGAAACAAAATAGGATCATGTTTCTTAAAGAAAAGTCATTGATTGTTTTTGTCAATCAGAATGAGACAAAGAAAGCAGCCTTGCAAAAAAATAATCTCAAATTGACTTTACCTTCAGAAACTTACTGATCCCTGTATATAACACATTGACTTGGGGAAATCTGTAGTATTTCAGTATTTTACAATAACATTATTTCAATTTCTTTTAAAAGAACAGATATTTGCAATGGTTTGCTGAGCTCCCTCCCCAAAATTAGGCATTGCAGAAAGCAGTTTTATTTACCCAGGAGGTTAATAATCCCTTCGTTATATGCCGCAAACAGTCTAATGGCATCTTTGAAGAGAAGCATGAAGGCAGCATTAATTACACCATTTGTAAGTTCATTGCTATTGACCTAGGAAGATCAGAAAAAAAGTTAATTTGACTGAATCAATCCCTCATTGGAAAACTTAGAGTTGAACTTGAGTACTCTATCCAAAATCATGCTCTCATTGGCCAGTAATAGAAGATAAGCAGAAGAGTAAATCAACAAAGCATTTCTCAGCAGAAAAACTCCATCCTTTTGGCAATTGCTTCTGTTAACTAACATTAATGTTAACTAATGTAGTGAAAAAGACACAGAAGAAATAATCGACCTTCACATGTACAAACAAGCATTACATAATGCATGTGATTAATAACACTTATTTAAGACAAAGGATTTTCTTGCACTGAGCATCATTTTTTTCCTGCTTTCTTGAGATATAATCTATGAACAAAATGCATTTTGCTCTTCAGGCTCTACACGAAGCACAGACACATAGGAACAACACTGAGGCAAGTTCAAGACCTCAAACCTTAGCATATTTTACAGCATTTCTTTCTTTACACATCAAACATATTGCATCTGTTCTACACATTGCTAAACTTACATTGAAGTCAAGAAGTGCATCCATTTGGTTCTGTATAATTGGTACAGTTTTTAGGAGTTTTTCTGTGCTCATTGTTCTCATTACTCCATCAGCCCTGTTGAGCAAAACAAAAGAAAGTTCAAGCGGATTTTGAAGGCAATTACTGAGAAATATAGAAAATAAAGCAGGTCAGTGAAAATACTTAAATTTGTGTGGTCATTCAATGCAGGTATTTGATGTTTAAGAATGCTGTCTAGACAATACAATAACTGCAGTGTTACAAGAGCCACAGTTTTTGAACAAAACATGACTCCAAGACAAATTACTCTGAGGGAATGAAAGTGGTATTTAAGAAATCTCAGTTATGATACATCCAGCAAAAAAAAAAAAAAAAAAAAAAAATACAATGAAGGTTTTTTTCTGAAATTTGTTTTTATCTATGCTTTTTCTAATCACCTGGTTATTATTTCATGTCAGCCTACATCACTTTCAATTGAAAGCAAAGAGAAAGAAAAACAAGATACTGTGATTTCAAGCTTTTCCAAAAGAATTACGAAGACTACAAGAGACTTGCTTTTAATGGCAAACTATCAATATCTGGTCATCTATTAATTGACCAGACCAGACTTATTTTGCTAGGCATTTAAAAAATGCACTGAAAGACTATTAAAAATATTTTAAAAAGCAACAACCAAGGAAGAGATTAAAGCATCTCACTGACAACAAACAACTGCTGTAAGACAAACCAGGCAGCCTTATAGCTCATCTGCATGCACAGAGAAAACCAAATGTTTCCTGGAAGTGCAAGTCTCCAGTGCATCTGCACAGAAAAGGCCATGGCTGCTCTCCAAGCTGGAAGGCAGCAGGGAGCTGGCTGTTTTCAGCTTTGTCCTCCAGCACTATTCTCCCTCCTGACAGCCAACAGCAACTGCAATAAGCCTCGTGTGACAGGGCACATGTGCAGAGCCCTGACAAAAGCTGAGGTGTGGAACCAACAGACTGCTGCCCCAAAGCAGTTTGTGCTGCTCCTGGAAGAACCCTCAGGCACACACTGCTGTAGGCTTAAAAACTGATTCCAAACGAACTGTGCATCTCTGCTGTATCTAGTGCATCTACTGCACCTGCAGCCACCAGGCCACACACAGACTTGGTGTGTGGGAAAGACCAAGTTTTGTGTCATTGGGACTTCCATCACTGCTGAATGCAAAAAGACTATCAGGAATACGGGGATTATCATTACAGTTTTAAACTTTAAAAACCACTGAGCACAGAGAACGAACAAGGATAGAAAGATTTTCAGCCATCACCAGTGCACTTTCTCCGGCACTTGCAATAAAGAACATTTCCTAATCAGCAGCACACATGTTACCTGGTTTCTGGTGCTCTGCACTGTGATTTTACACAAAATGTGTACCTGGTCTCAAGAGACTAGTTTCTCTTCATGGCACTGAGTATTGACCAAGTAAAATATTCTGCTCCTTTGCGTGTCCTGGGACACACATAAGTGAGAAAACCAAATGCTGCTAGATAACTTCACTAATATTTTCCTAAGCACACAGCACTGATATGTATCCAAAACTGATGTTTCCCACTTCAATTACAAAAGGATAACAAAAAAAACCTCAAGGTAAGTAAAAAAATAAGATCAGTTCTTACCCTCTTTTTACTTTTGTGAAGTCAAAAGCCACCTGTCTGTAGGAAACCGCCTTTTCATTCAGGTACCTGCTATACCGCCTGATAAATGTTGACATGTCATAGCCTAAAAAACAGTTAAAAAGATGTTTCAGAAGCCTATTGCTTATCAGTCATAAATGGCCTGGGTTGAAAAGAGCCACAATGATCATCTAGTTTCAACCCCAGTGCTGTAGGCAGGGTCACCAGCCACCAGACCAGGCTGCCCAGAGCCACATCCAGCCTGGCCTTGAATGCCTCCAGGGATGGGGCATCCACAGCCTCCTTGGGCAACCTGTTCCAGTGCATCACCACCCTCTGATTGAAAAACTGCCTCCTAATATCTAACCTAAACCTCCCCTGTCTCAGCTTAAAACCATTCCCCCTTGTCCTATCTCTATACATCCATGCAAACAGCCATTCCCCCTCCTGTTAGGCTTATACGCTCCCTTCAAGTAACTGCAAGACCACAACAAGGTCTCCCCAGAGCCGCCTCTTCTCCAAGCTAAACAAGCCCAGTTCCCTCAATACACTTACTCTCAAAGTGCAGGACACCAAAGGCAGCATCATTCTATTTTTGCCTGGATTTATATGGTTAGCTTGCCTATGTTACCAACAGCAGTGCATGTCATTGCATTCAGCATGTAAATCAATAAAATTATTCAATTTAGCAGACCTTGGGCTGCCACTGAAAAGGCTGCTGTCCCCAGGCAACCACCCAGTACACCTGTTTTAGAACACCCATAGAAAAATTGTAACAAGCTGTACAAAAAGCAATGCAGGAGGAAGAAAAATAGACAGGCAATGATATGCATCATCAGAACTGCACTGAACTGTAGTAGAACTGAATGAAGTTAAACCTTATTACCTACAGAATTAGTCTCAAAGATGAGTAGGACACTGTGAACAATTCTGAAATACATTTGTTTTGTTTGTGTATCTCACTCATACACTGCATGCAACTGCAACACATTAAGATTTAATGATCACAATATACCTTCAAACAGAGAACTGTTTTCAGAAATCAGGAATACCATCTTGGATTTGTGCAACTAAGGAAGTCTTTTTTAGAAAAGATTTCCAAAGCAAATTCCTCCAGCACGTAACTTCTATACAGCAGCACTCTAAATTAAGAAAAGCAGTCTGAGCTAAAACACACAATAATTACTTCTCCAGGGCCAAGTTCCGTCAAAATTACTGATTGTATTTGCCAGCATGCTACTGCACTGCTGCTGCTTAACAAAAACGATACCTTACCTTGCAATCCACTTTTGTCTAGGAAGTTGCTCAAATTAAACAACGTGTTTCTGGACGCCAGATACTGGATAAAGCGCTGAATGAAAAGAACAATTGGAAATTTTACCACACAGACCCCAGACTGGAACTGAGGTAATAACAGAAGCTTCATGGTGCAATGCAAGAAATTCAGCCTTTAGGCTTTACCATTTATTTCAAGTATGCAAACTATCACAAAAACCCAGTTAACTGTAATACTAAGCCTGAAAGACTTCATTTAAGCCAGAATGATGTAGCAGAAGCTTCTAAAAAAAAAATTCCCCACCAAATATATTAACATGCTCACAATTATTTCACCAGTTTCCTTTTTGAAAGTTTATTTCAATGTCATGTAATTTCACTCAGCACATGGTTAAATACTACTTAGCTTAAGCATCAGAATCAGGTGACATACGTCCACCTGCTTATGGACTAAGCATTAAATAAACATAAGAATCCATAAAAAGCATTAACATCACAGCACCATGCTCAGCATACCTCAAATTAGTTCAACGTAGTTCTGAACTGTTTCATAAAATGAATGATGTGACATCTTTTAAAAGACCTTTCAGGTTGCTGGCAGCAGATTTAAGTCAGTAGGAAAAACTATTTTGTCTTATGAAGCACTCTCTAGAGCATGGCTACAAATATAAACCAGACGACCATTCACGATAACATTTTGACAGAAGAAAAATAATTCTGATTAATATAATGTGTCCTAAATTATTTTCAGTAGCATAAACAAAGACTAGAGAAGACTAATGCACTCAGTACTCTGACAAAGGAAATAAATGAAAGGTGGAAGATCAAATGCTTCCCAATTTTTTATAGAGCACTTTGTGGATTCTTTATGATCTTCTAGATATCTCTAACTCTCCACTGGACTTTCATCCCCAGTCATGAGACTTAATTTCCATATTTACTGTCCAAGTGCTATTTCTAGCTGCAAAATTTCTTTTCAAGAAGCACTCAGCATCGTTACTTTTGCAATATGTTTGGCAAACAAAGTTTATTTGGCAGTTTTATTCTTCACATGGCAAGTATTTCAGACAATGGCACCTTAACTTACTGTGAATTGTATTGGCATCAGCATGAAACTTTAGACTCCAAAAGCAAGCACAGCGGAATGTCAGAGACTATTTTGGAAAGAGGCAATTAGCCCAGCAATGATGCTTAATGTCAACATGAGAAGTTTGCCCTCTTGTGGCTTACTTAGCTTCAAAGGATAGATTCAGTGCATTTCATCAAGACCAGAAACTCTGCAGCCAATCTGCAAGAGAAACCTCTGAGTGTGCATACATATATATATATGTATTTCACAGAACCACAGAACGGCCAGGGTTGGAAGGGACCTCAAGGATCATGAATCTCCAACCCCCTGCCACATGCAGGGCCACCAACCTCCACATTTAATACCAGACCAGGCTGCCCAGGGCCCCATCCAACCTTGAACACCTCCAGGGACGGGGCATCCACAGCCTCTCTTTGCAGCTGTTCCAGCACCTCACCACTCTCTCTGTAAAGAACTTCCTCCGGACATCCAACCTAAATCTTCCCTCCCTCAACTTCAAACCATTTCCCCTCATCCTGCAGTTATCACAGAATCACCCGGGTTGGAAGGGACCTCAAGGATCATGTAGTTCCAACCCCCCTGCCTAGCAGGGCCACCAAACACACACATTCAGATCAGGTTGCCCAGGACCCCGTCCAACCTGGCCTTAAACACGTCCAAGGACGGGGCATCCACAACCTCCCTGGGCAGCCCGTTCCAGGGCCTAACCACTCTCCTTGTAAAGAACTTCCCCCTAACATCCAACCTAAATCTTCCCTTCAACTTGGATCCATTTCCCCTAGTCCTGCTATTGTCAGCCCTTTTGAAGAGTTTACTCCCCTCGTGGGTGTAGGTTCCCTTCAGGTATTGATAGGCTGCAATGAGGTCACCCCGCAGCCTTCTCTTCTCCAGGCTGAACAAGCCCAACTCCCTCAGCCTGTCCTCATAGGGGAGGTGCTCCAGCCCCCTGATCATCTTAGTCGCCCTCCTCTGGACCCTTTCCAAAATCAACCCTTTCAAAGAGTTGATTCCCCTCCTGTTTGTAGGCTCACTTCAGGTACTGAAAGGCTGCAATGAGATCACCCCACAGCCTTCTTTTCTCCAGCTCCCTCAGCCTGTCTTTGTAGGGGAGCTGCTCCAGTCCCCTGATCATCTTTGTGGCCCTCCTCTGGACCTTCTCCAACAGCTCTGTCTTTCTTGTACTGGAGGCTCCAGACCCGGACACAGTACTCCAGATGGGGCCTCAAGAGCAGAGCAGAATATTATTTGGTCTTCACTACAAAGTAGTGCATGTAAATTCTTAAAGCTACCCCTTAATTCCCAACTTCATATACACTATGCTATACTGTTTGCAATACCAACCAATGCTTACAGTGTTTCTCATAAAGCCTGATAAGTTATTTTTTTGAGATGTGGGAAATCCAAGCAGCCGCCGTGCTTGGCATTCTGATAAGTAAGGCCCCACAAGAACTCAAATTGTGAAGCAAAACAAGCTTATTGCTTTTTGTTTTGAACTGGTGTTTTATTCATTTAATTGTGCTACAGTATGCAATGTTACTGGTCTGTCCACACTCAAAGCCACAGGCACGCATTCTGCCTTTGCTGCAGAAGGCTGAGTGGTGATGGTCACAATCAGTTACCTTGAATTTTCAGTAATTAAAACAACACTGCCAAGGAAAAGGTACCTCCAGCTCTCAACACACAGTTTTGATTCAAGCACTACAAACTTTGAAGTAGAAAAACATAATACTCTGCCCATGTTCATGCAATTTTTGGCAAAAATAATCATAGGATCACAAGGTTGGAAAGGACCTACAAAATCATCTAGTTCAACCATCCTCCCATTATCATTGCTACCACAAGCACTAAACCACATCTCATAGCTCCTCTTCCAGACAATAAATAATTACTGAAAGGATTTAGCTGACATTTATGGAAACAAAGTGCTTTAACCATTCTCAGACATAATATTTTCTGCATTACCTCATTTCCATACACCATTAGATGATGGGTTGTGATGAGAGATTTGAAGACCACCACCCAGCTACTGTTGGTAGTTCTTTCAAACAAACTGTCTGCCAGCTGTGGGATGTTCACATTCATCTCATTTGTGCACTGGATTAAATCTGCAATGCAATAATAAAAATTCTTTAAGTTACAAGAAAGAAAAATCAGTGAAATAGAAAAAACATCGTGTTAACTTCATGAAGTAATATTTTCTATGAAAACTGAATGTCTTTCCAAGAAAAAAATATCTGAAAAGCAGTCAACTAGAACCTCATTAACACAAGTATGACTCTTCTCACTGCCAAGATCCCAGGTCCTTAATTGTTTCTGCAGTTGCCTTACAAGGTCCTGGAACAGAAGCACCAGAATAATCTATGCTACCTCTGACTAACAACTCCCAGCTTCAAGTTATCTAACTCTTTAAAGAGCAATAGAGTTCTTACTTGTTACTATTTAATGAAGTCTTGCTGGAAGACTGGAATTAATCGTAACACATGAAACCTCCCATTTCTGGCTTTTCAATGGACCAATGAACCCCTCCAGCCAATGGTTCAACGTAACTAAAACTGAAAGATCACTCAGCCTTGATACAACATAATCAACACCTCCAGAAGAGCAGCAGATGAAAAGTTTAAGAATGAGCCTCTAGCTACAGTGCAGAGGCTGACAGATTCACTTACCTAAAACTAAATTGGCTGCAACTAGAAACACGGCTAGAAGCAAAGCAAAACAACCAAGGCTGGGTAGCTGAAACAAAGCTATCCAGTTTTTGTTCTGTATGAATTTCTGGCAAACAAGATCTAGTGAATCCTGAGATGGTTGTTTAAATAAGTAATCCTTTTCATCTCTTAGATCTGGTAGTGCCAAAAATGTGTCATCAGGAGGAGCCCAGCTTATAATGTAGCAAATAATACTAAGGAAAAAGCCATTAACTTGGTTTCAAATGCTGATGAAGGAAGTGAAAACTTCAGATCACAATGCTACAGAAACTAAAGCAGAAGCAACTATTTACATTCAACTGTGATACAGCACAGCTTGGTAGCACTAAATACTAAGTTTTTATTTCCTTCAACAGAAGACAGATGACATTTCACTGTTATTACCACCTCACATATAAAGCAGTTATTTTCCCTCAGACTCAAAGCCTTACCAATGGCCATACTTCAATATGGATCAAGACCGGAGTCCTATCTGTCATCTACTAGGATTTTAAGCAGATCCTATGATTCCAGTTAATTCCAAATGCAAACATTTAATCTTTGAAGACAGAAGTTTTCTATTCTGCTACGAATGAACTCTTATGAGTGACTGAAGTCAGGCAGGACTCTCTTCAGACACAAGCAGCAGGTAACATACGCCTACTGTAAACTCTGAACTAGTAGAGTCAGAACTGAAAACGCTGGTATTTACAAGTTTAATAATTAAAGGAAGCAAGCAGGAAATGATTTCCACATTCAAAAATGTGAGATGGAGTGATTAGCCATTCCTTGATCTACAAGTAAAACTGATGACTACAGGCATTCATGACCTCACTTTTAAGGTATGGTTATCTATTATTGGATGATGACTTTAGGTGTTAAGACAAGGTGAGGATATTGCTCAGCAATAGGTATGTTCTGAGCTGGCCATTAAAACCAAGCCCTGAAGCTTCTTGATTCCTGACACCTAAGGAATAATGTAAGAAGTTCTGTGCAAGGCTACCCAACAGGAATACACATTAAGTGTAAAGGTATGCATCGCAGTACATCAAGTCACACACCACAGCCTAAGAGTGCAATGCAAGTTAGAAAGTGAGAACTTCTATTCCTAAACACAACATTTGCCACATAGTCAATCATAACGAGGTATCATTTAAACCCATTACCTTGAATTGCTAAACAATTACATCTGTTCTAGAAGACATTTTACACTGGTGGAAGTGTTTTTAAAGAAAACAGCTTTCAAATCATGTCTTGATATCTGTCGCTGTGTGTAAAAGAAAACAGCCTTTGTGACAGCAGCTGAAAACCATCCCTCACAGCACTGATGAATGCTTATGTGAAAAGCATGTGAATGAACTTGGTGAGTGGGGGAAGAGGGGAAGGCACATTAGGAAGGAGAAATAGCAGCCAACTGGGAGAAAATGGGCAAGAACAGGGGTAAACAGACAAGTCTAGCCTTGAGTGGAAGGAAATAAATTTGCAAATGCAAACAAGGGGAAGAGTTGGTACAAAACTCGTATTACTGCAAAATTAGTCCAGCAAAATAAAAAGCTTCTTTCTGTACAAAAGGCAGGTTGAACAGATGTATGGAAGGTTTTATGTGGAAGATGCTTTTTCATCAGCACAGATGCTTAGCAGTCTGGTACATCCTGATACCCTCAAGTGCCTTTATCATTGATGTAACTCTTCTGAAACAAGTCTAAAAGCTTCTTTGAAAGTATTTGCATGAGTAATACTGATTCGGTACAGAAATACTTGTACAGTTAGGCCTCAATTAGATCAGGCATTTTTATGCTAACCATGGCTTAAGAAGCACAGCACAGTATAGCAGAAGGGAATACAGCAGCCTGCATTCCATGCTGCTGGGCTGGCTTTGCAGGAGCAGCCTCACATACGGTGTTGTTCTTCACCTCATCCCATCAATAACGGAGAGGCACAAACAATGGTTTTCAACACTGTACACTTTATACAACCTGATTTCACACCCCTACCCACTACTAGCTCATGCTGCTAGTTACTGGGTGTGGTACGAGCAAAACTATACAATAAAACCTGCACTACTTAGGAATAAGGCACTTCCAAAGCTTCAAAGAAAGCAGCAGTAAGCAACAGGAACTTGACCTTAAGCTTGGCGCTGGGTGGGACACTTGCATTGGGGAAAACTTTAAACAGCAACTAATGTACAGCCATATCCATGGGTGGAGGTGGAGACAGCCCAAAGTTCAGCAGGACAGTCAGAGTTGAAGGATGTGGGCTTATTCCATCAGCAGAAGAGAAGACAAAGGGAGGTGGTGGGAGGGAGTACAAACATTACCTTCACTTGGACATTTTTGTGTGGTTTTTAACAGCAGGAGCATGACAAGCAGCAGACAGTGCAGCGAGGGGAATTCTCACGGGAAAAAGGATCTTAAATGAAAGTGGTCAGGCACTGGAATCCATAAGGAAGCAGATCTTTTCCTGGGTACCCTGGTCAAGAAGGGTCAGATCAGCAGACTCTGAGGTCCCTCACTACCTAAACCAATTAATGACTTAATGCCCTGTGTATGGAAAGAGAACGAGAAAAGGGACACACAGAAGTGACTTACAAAACTACAGTCCAACATGAATGCAAATTTCTAGAGGTTACGAGGCCTTAGATCTGTGAGGTGATACAGTTTGAAGAATTCCATTTCACCTATCCATATTAATTCAAGTGCCAAGTTTCAGCAAAGATTTTGAAATTACACAACTACCCTATAAAACAGTTCCAGTCTTTCAAATATAAGATATTCAATCTTTTTTTTGTTACATTAACTAAAATCTTCACTGCTAGATTACATAAGCTAATTCAGTTTTTTAGATTTTATGCCTTTCCCCTCTAAAAAGGAAATCTTGGCAGGGAATCATAAGTGTCTGGACTACAAACTTTCTAGCAGCACTAGAAGATGTGCCATTACACCTGCACCTAAGCAATCCTATTACTTAAACCTGCTGAAGCTGCCGAGCACAAAGCATGCAGCATCATATCATAGGTTACTCCAGGTGAGAGAAAAGTTATTTGCTCTCTGAACCAAGATACCTACAAACTTTACAACTGTTCATGCTTCATTACAGGACAGAACCAAATGATTCACTGTTGTTTTTTTTTCCCTAAAATATTACACAATTGATAGGTATCAGGTCAGAGAAGCATAAAGATGAAAAGTATAAGGCTGAAGATTCACACACAAGAAACAAGAAGCTACCTGCACACACAACAGCTCCTACAGGTTGGTTTCATACAGCACTTTCACCAGGTGTGTAGATCTGGATTAGCAAAACCCTTTATGCAATCACAGGGTTCCCAACCAACAGCAAAGCCAAGGCAGTCGGGCTTGGCAATACAGCAGCAGAGGCATCAGCAACTCATTATCCCAGAGAACAGGCGTGATTACAGCATGCGCTTGTGATCTGACCTGATGCAGAACCCCATCCTGCCCTAGGCATCCCCCCAAGACAGAATTATAACTCTTTGGTTTTCTCACACAGAGAACCCATTCGTATGAATTTATCTGGGGAATCTTACCTCCATAATTTATCAATTAATTAAAATTTGCCTTGAAAACAGACTTTGCTAACTCAGACCATCATCTGCAGAAACCCGTTGAGTAGACTGAATGCAAGTCAAAATTACAAACTCAACCACTGTGCGTATACAAAGATGCACATTTTTTATTCTCATATTTTTATTCTCATTTTTAACATTTCTACTGTAAAATACCAACCTGGAAATATTTCCAAGAATTGGATCTTCCAGGCCAGAAACTGAGCCCTTCAAAGTAGGTCAAGCAACCGTGACAAATTCCTATTTTTGTAACCACTGCTTTTTCATCTGTTATTACACCAAAGATGCTATGTGGAGTAAGCACATAGTTATATTCTCCAATGTGCTTTGCTTTTTTTTTTTGTTTGTTTGTTTTGCATCTTACCATAGCCATCCCATATGCAGCTAATTGAAATACTGATCAATCAACATTAGTATGCACACAGTGCCAAGAGTTTTAACTGCATTCTTCAGTTAAGAAAAGACTAAGTGGGAGAAGAAGGTAAATCGCATCCTATAAAACAAGACAGAATCTACACTTACATATCCTAAGACAGATAAAATTCATTCAGTCCCTAAAATAAGCTTTGGTCAAACACAAAGAAGCCTGAAAGCGCCCTATTACTTTGATCAATAGTTACTTGCCAACTCGCATCTGTGGTTCATTGAATAGGAATTCATGTTTGCTAAGACAACTGGAAAACCAATGTCTACTCTGGTCCAAACACAGCAACCAAACTCATCCAGCCCAAACTGCTCCAAAGCAGCATTTTTAACACTTTATGGGAAAGTCACTTTGTAAGCAACATTAAAATGAGCAACAACGTTTCCAGATTGCAGTGAAGGAGCTCATTAT